AGGGGAGGAACCGTGCTGCTGGTTCTAGCCGCGAATACGTGGGGTACGGGAAGGGCTAGGGAGGAGTACACTGCAGAGGGTACAGTAGGGGAGGAGGGTTCGCAATGCATGAGCACATTTTTTGGACGTGGGATTCGAGACACGGGGAGGGTGCTGGGGTGGGTGTGAAGAGGGTGGTGTGTGTAGATTTCGCGCGGGGATTTAAAGCAAGGGGAGGGGATTATGTGGGTGGGCTGACTGGATACGTGGCGTAAATCCTTTAGCGGATGCCTAGGCCACGCAGAAAAGAGGGGAGAGGGTGGTAATGAGTAGAAAGGAGGGGGAAGTGTACTCCTGGTTTTTGCCGCAGAATGGAAGTTGCTTTGCAGGGGGATTTCAGGACAGAGTAAAGAAACAGAACGAGGGCAGAAGTCAGGAACTCGAGGCAGAAACTACAGACAGTAGTAAAGCGAGAAAGCAAAGCGCTATAAAAAAAAAGTAAATTAAAGCAAGCTTGGACGCAGGAATAAAAGCAAAATCAGAAGAAAAATGTGAGCCTAAAGTAAAAAAGTAAAACCAAGCAAAAAAAAAAAAAATCAGTCTATGTGAAAGGGAATTGTCCTATAAAACCCGTTATCAGAAGGGGACTTCCCCATTCATGAAGCTGAAAGTTGGGTAAAACTGACAGCCAAGAACGTAAAGCTGCGCAGGTAGACACGTAGGCGAATGGATGCAGTAGCAGGCAGGCGTTTGGCCTCCTTGTCTGTCCTATTGCGCCACCCGCACTAACATGAAATGAAAAAGTTTAATATTGTGTCTATGGGTGCTCCTTGAATCCAAAATCCGAGGCGTTTACATAACGTAGGCGAAACTAACGCCTCTTTCAGTAACCCTCCACAACAGGCTCAGAGCCTTAATGAGGTGGGGTGGTTAATCCAAACCCCCCTAGGAGCCGCACAGACCTTTGAACGCGTGAGGAGATGGACAAAAAATCAGCTTCATAAATGGGGAAGTCCAACAGAGCAAACGGCTTTTATAAGACAATTTTTATTCATAAATTTTCATTCATAAATTTTCATTTTGCCAAGTTTTTCACTTGTTTTTATGTGTTTTTTGCATCTATGCAATGCAAAAACGTATATTGTCGAGGAACTGTCTGTTTGTGTTTGTGTGTCTGTGTGTTTGTCCATACCGATTTTTCATCTCAAGATCTACAAAGGTTATAGGACGGAAACTTTAAGAACTTAATCTACATGCACGTAAGGGCCTCCCCCAAAACGGCCGCTCTTTCCCATGTGGTCCCCACGTACGGGTCCGACAAAGATATTGATGCGTAAGCTGCCAGCTCGGGAACCAAAAAAGCTAGAAAGCTGAAACTTTAAAGTTATGTTTTCCGACAGCCCTGGTGAGCAGTCCCAATTCTTTTAGCTAGAAGCATCTTCCACGAAAAACATTGCCTTAGGCGATAAAAACCTGCGGGGAACTATGCAAGGAACACATCTTCGCATCGGCAGTCGGTGTGCTGGCCATTTATTTGCTCGCTTTCTCAGTTTTTATTTGCTTTTGCTTTCTTCAGCTTTTATTCAAAAGTTCCAATTTTTAATTTCTTTTTTTTTCCGTTCTTATGAGTTTTTTGCACCTACGCAGTACAAAAACGCACATTGTCGAGGGGTTGTCTGTGTTTGTGTGTGCATGTGTGCCTCTGTGGGCGCTCTAACGAGCTTCAATCTCGAGATCCACAAAAGCTACAAAACAGAAACTTCGGTATCTACAAATAAATGCGAGCTCCTGTGCTCAAAATGGACACCCATGTCCGCGCGGTTCTCATGTATGGGCATGGAAGAGTTTTTTGACGTGAAAATGTTTTCGGGAACGGTGTAAGCTAGGAGCCTGGAACTTCACAGAGTTTTTCCTTGGCTGCGTCTAATCCAAAGATTTTAAATTCAGCCTTCACGCACCCTCAGGTTTCACGTACGCACGCGTCAAACTGATATCATGCCAACTCCAGATTTAAGCTGACCAATAAGCTGCGGAGAGTTGCAATTTTGCAGCGTTACTTGTCGTCCACTATTGTGCCTGCGAAAGTAAACTGAGTTTTTCCAGCCCTTCTGCATCTCACATACGGGCACGTGAAAATTTTGCGCACGCACTTTTGTAACTTCAAAACTGAAGCAACTAGAGGACTGGAATCTTCTGAGCATTACCGACGGTGGCCTTCGACCAGATGGAAGCAAAAACGACTTACACGTTACTTTCACGTCTCACGTATACACGCGTGGAATTTGGCGCAACTTCGCAACCAAAATAGCTAGAGCGCTGAAATTTTCTGAGCTTTGCCCAGGACCGTGTTTGTGTAACCGCACGCGAAGAAAGCATCCACGTTGCCACTCACTCAA